TTGTGATAAAATTATTATCTAATGGGTTGAGGGATTTATTGACATAAAACTTGCCTATGGGCTAAAGTTTTAATTCTATTAAATCCAATTAAAAAACCCTTATGATAATATTTTTCACAATTACTAAAGAGTCAGAAGAATCTAGTGACATAAAACTTGCCTGTGGGCTAAAGTTTTACTCAATTAGATCCAACTGAAAAATTTATTTATGATGAAACCATTATCAAATGAGTTGAAGAATCAAATGACATAAAATTTTCCTGTAGGCTAAAGTTTTATTCAATAAGATTCATTACAACCATTATGATAAAACTTAAGAAATCATGTTCCTTTTCTTAATCCCTGTGGGTAAATTAAGAAATATGATCTAAAGTTTACATCATAAAATTAAACTTTATGATAGAATTGTAAATTATTTTAAAATAACCATAAAGTAAATAAATTGATTTATTTCTATCATCACTAATAAAACTACTAAACTACATTCCGATACATAATTGTCTGTGGGCTAAATTACGACCGTAGTCCAATATTTAATCCTGATTAATCATACAAATATAACGAAATTGCCTGTGGGCTAAATTTCATCATATTACATACAATTAATCACAAATGATATGTCCAAAACTTTATGTGATCAAAATAAACCGCTTAATATATAATTTTAACAGATTAAGGATGTTGTGGCTACTCCAAAACCAAATTAAAATTGTAAGATCACTAGACAATTATCAAATTCTTGCCTAAACTTTATGTGATTAAAACTTAATAATCTTAGGTAACTGAATATGTTGTAGCTATTCCTTAATTAACCAAGATTGAAAACTTAAGAGACTTCAGTAAATTAAAGATGCTTTGGATATTCTTTAATGAACCGAAATCAAATCACATTGGCAAGGAATACTTAAAATTTTGACAAACAGATTATACCAGATTGTGATGGAAAAATCTAAATATACTCCAAGAAAAAACGGTGGTTAGAGACTAAGTCTCACTGAAAACCGATTCCTTAAATAGAGTATCAATTTAAGGAGACTAGTGGCTCAAGATGTCTTTAACTCATGGCCATTAAAACTAGTATGTCTCCCCGATTCATATATACTTAATGTATAACTGTTTGGGGTATAAACCAGTAAACTGTATGGTATACACCAGAAAACTGTAGGGTTCACCTATGATTAAAGCTTAAATGGTGAACTAAAATAGCGGACTAAACGTGCTTAAATTCAGACACTACCGCAACTAAAGTTTATGCATAAGTCCAACTTAATAAGGAACTACTATAATTCCATCCCAAAGTATGCATTGCTAAAGGCATAATAAAATTGCATAATTTAAAAATATAATATTATGCGGTGGACAAATATGCATAAAATTAAGCATTAAACTCATATATTCCAAATAAATTGCATAACTGAAAGCAATTTACAATATGAGATTTTAAAGTATAAACTTAATATTCAAACACCGATGAGTCCAAACCAAAAGAGACCCAACATTTTGAATGATAATGTACTGAATATATACTTTAATTTTTTTTAAAACTGTAAGCCATGGGAAAATGTTTTAATGCATAAAGATCAAATTTATGAGAAATAACTGAATTTACAAATTCAAACAATATCAAACCAAAAGGATATGCTAGCATTTGTAAATTAAAATCTCATAAACCCTAATTACATAATTAAACTTAATATTATGCACTTAATGTGATCAAATGCATAAAACAATCTAAAGAGTATGAACCAACTAAAGGATATGAATTTAAACAAAATATTCATTTATTCATACTTAACCAAATATGGGTAGTCATAATTCAAAGAACTAAATGAATTATGGAATTAATGGCAATAGTCAATTGCCCAAAAAATGTATTTTTCCAAAACTACTAAATTGATTCAAAATCACTTCCATAATCCAGGTAATAATAATATTATTATTATTATTAATTGCAAAATTGCAAATAACCAAAATAGCAATAAATAGCCATAATAATATTATCACATTATGTAGGAGATTAAATATGGAAAAATAATGGTCAAAACCGCTAACACTTATAAATGTTTCCGGATAAAATTTTGAAAAGTTAATAAATTTGAAGTCCGAAAAATATTAATGTCCAGAAAATTATTTTCTGAACTGGAGTATTGTCACATAAATTTATTTGGAAATAGTTCAAGGTACACATCTTAATACCATAAGAATATTAATGTCATCATTAATTAACTAATTATTAATAGCAATAAGTAACATTATATTCACTATTAACATTAGTAATGACAAACTAAAGTATGGTAATGCACTTTTAATGTTTTCATTTTTCTAAAGATAAAATATGTGACTAGTCCAAATTAGCGGTTAACTGTAACTGTAGCACTAATTATCAATAATAATAATAAAAGATAATTAATGGCTAACCTTAATGATGCAAACCGCATCTGCCCATTGTGCTAACAACGATCCAGAATTCTCCCAATCTTTACTGTCGGTGTCAACAAACTCGATGCAGCGTCCAATGGTACGTTCAAAAATTGATTGGTAGGACTTAATTACCAACATTAATAGTCATGTAAAATGAAGCAAGTAATCATACCAATGTACCAAATATAGCAGATTACCGTGAAATAATAATTATTATGAAAAGTAATAAACGAGATCAGCCCCTAAACTTAATAACAGTAATTAATAATGCCAAATTTAACGTAATAAATGGCAAAACTGTAATCAATGGATGCCAAATACTAATCTCAATTTTACCACATAATAATTAACCATGACTATTATGATACTTAGGGAGACTGAAGTTAAGGTAATAACCAAATTACCATTAAACAAATTAAACAATATACCAACTATATTGCTTTTGCCATAAAATTAAAGAGTTAATATTATTATTAAGGCCCTGAAAAACTATTGATAGATTAAAATTTTAATCAACTTAAACAATAGTTATAGTTCTTAATGGCCAAAATAACAATTAAATCCTTAATGTCTCTAAACAGGCCAAAACAATAATTATTACACTTAATCACTCAAATTAGGCTCACAAACCTTAACGGCCCAAGTGAATTATAACATGGATGGAAAATGGTCTAATATTGAAGTAGACCCAAAACTTAATATTATTACCAACGATGAATAACAAAATATAGTAGTTAGTAATAATTAAAACTTAATAAACATGTTATAATCAAATAACAGTGCTACAATTATTATTTAAATATCAATCAAAATGATGGGATCCATACTTTAATGACCCAAGATAGGTCCCAAACAGCTTGTTCAAAATAGGTTCTAAAGTCCCAAAGGCACATAAAATTAAAATGTGCTCAAAATTAAGGCGAAACCAAACAAGCTGATTTAGTAGGTCATAATACCTAAAATTGACTTAAGGATCCAAAATTGAATGATATTTAATAATAAATTTATGAGTTAATAATATGCTAAATCCAACCTTAATGCATGCTATTATGAATATATAATTATAACAATAATTTATAAATATACGTAGCATGCTTGGATGTGCAAATTAATACATTATTAACCCATATATACTAAATAAATTGCAACACTCGAGACAATTTAATTTGCACTTTAACATTAAATTAAAATTCAAATAGCAAATTAAAACTTAATATTTGCTCTAGAATGATAATTTAATAATTAATTAAGGAGAAATTAAATTAAACAATTGGCTAGTCAAAGCTCAAATAAGATGAAGGAAAAAACTGAAAGAAGCCCAATAAACTTAAAAGAGGCCCAAGAGTTTGTTTATATATAACATTACATCAGGTCTGCCCAAAAAACTGACCCAGCCCAAATAATATATTCCATCATCTTCATCTTTATGCCTAGCCAGAAGCCTTACTTCATGCGGTGCCGACAGGAGAAGCGTGCACCGTTGTCCTCGTCCTCAGTGGCGATGTCGACAGCGATGGAAGGAAAAAAAAAATAGGAAACCCCCCCCCCTCCCCCCCCCTCCTTTTTTTTTTTTAACCGTCGTTGCTTCGCGATAGTCGGAAAATTCGGTCAGTCGCGGCCTCGTAGTGAAAACAGAAAATAATAAATCCAGCAACATTAATTTCCAAAAGACACGACATATAATTTCATAACCCGAACGAACGTGTTTATTAATGCTGGGAAATAATTTTTCAACCGTCCAAAATCATATACGAAAACACGATGTATATGAAAATTAACTTAATACTATTTTTAGCAAAACAATCAACCATGCAGAGATTATAAAGGCTCTAATACCAAATGTTAGATCTAAATAGTTTAACTAATGCTGAACAATAGTATACGAGAAACCCGACCTCGTATGATAGCGGAAGCGTAGCCATGTAGATCTCCAGCCATAGTTGATGTTCCTGTTGTGTTGCATCTTAACGGTAGACATGTTTTGCCTCAGACCTGACTCAGAACCCTAGATGGTGTATTGGTATCTACTAAGCAGTCTGAGTACCGTAACTGAATGTGCTATCTAATCCATAATCCTGTATCCCATCAATCCAGGTTTATATTAGGCACAGAGTTTGGTTAACTAACAACTACTAGTTATTAAGTCCAACCAGACCACTTAATAAGCCTAGTCAACTAGCACCACTTAATTAAGGCTCTAATATATAATATATAATATATAATATATAATATATAATATATAATATATATTATTAGGGAAAATCTTACAAGCACCCCCGAAAGGCCACTTACTGCCTCCACCACTTTGGAAGATTAGACTCCTATCCAAGGTTTACTCACAGCTGTGATAAAGGTCCCTTGGTATATTGCAAGCTCAAAGTTTGAACATTTTCCTCAAGTGCCATATTTCCAAGCTTGCAACATAACAATAAGGTTCCCTTGTCCCAAGCTTGCCATATTGATAAAAAACTTTTTTCATATGGGTCCCAATACAAGTGTTTACATTAAAATTTTGTGCCTGGAAGTAAAAGTTTTGACTAGAAAATGGGAGTACATACATATAAAATTTTCTGTTCATATATTACAGCTCCTGCTATGCTACCCCAACATCATATCCAGCATCACTCAAGAACACGTACACAACATCCATCATCATCATCTCTGCTGAGCTTTGTGCCTCTTAACTTTTCATTGCCTCTCAATCATTGTAGTTGTCTGTGTTTAAGAATTAGATGTTAAGGAGAAACGAAATGCCTGATGAAATTAGATAAAGATTAAAAGAAAATAAACAATACTGAAATAGCCAAAAAATGAAAACAATTAAGCGTGATTTTTCTTTGAGGAGAAACAAAACAAAATCAGATTCAGGTACAACACACTTATTTAAGATGTTTGAGATGTTTACTCTCGTGGTCGATGCTGGAAACAATAAATTAAGTTATTAACGCATTTATATAGGTACAAAAAAATATGAGATACAAAAAAATGAGAGAAAGCAGATAATTATTGATTGCAGAGGAATTGCTACCCTGCACAAAAAATTTAAATAGCATGAAACATGAAACGGTGAGAAATATAATGGAGACAGAGATAGAAAGAGACCCGAATATATTTAGAACGAACAAGGAGGGCTTCATTTCCATAGCTTCGCTGCTCATCTTGAATAAGCTTCGCAGAAGTCAAAACGGAATCGCAGCAGTATTTTAATTGAATATTTAAAATTCAAGTGTGGCAATATCGACAAACGCAATAGGGATCTCTCGCGACGAACTGCAACTTAACTCCAAATGTTGAAGCACAGGGAAATGATCACCCACGGCATTCCAATCTTCCCAAGTCCAGCTGTCAATTACTAACCTTTTCAATTGACGGAACCCTCCCTCATGACTCCCACTCTTTCCCTTCACAAGAATGTATCAATTTTAGAACTTTTAGATTCGGCAACATACCAATCACTACTGGAAATTATGGAATTTCCGACCACCTGAAAATGATCTTAAATTAAGTTGATACCAAAAAGTCCAAAAAGTGGTCGGAAATAGCAACAAAGATTTTTCCAGATACCAAAAGTGGTCGGAACAAGGCTTTTGACTTGATTTAAGATTACTTTCAGGTGGTCGGAAATTCCATAATTTCCACTAGTGAATAAGCCTTATTTCACTCCATTGCAACTCAGTCTCGAAGAATTTGAGCATCTTAAGATTTGGTAGAAAACTAGTTGCCCATGGGATGCCACTATACGGAAGTTTGAGATGCCACTTTTTGATACTTAGTTTCTCAAACTTACCCAAGTGCACAAAATTATAGAAACCATCTGAATTTTCATTTTCAAAATACATTTCACCTTGAATCCCCAATTTTTTAAAAATTTGGAATCCTCTTAAAAAGGTCCTCTGTACAACACTTCGGACGCAACCAAGATATAGTCTCTATGTTTCTATGGACAACCTCCGAAGCCTCTAATGTAAAATGAATTCCGTCAGCATAAAAATTCCTTAACAGTGGCATTTCCAAATTACAAATGCATTAGAGGAATGCAATATACATAATTTTTTACTTAGGGACAAAGCTAAGTATCTCAAGTGAACAAGATTTGCGATATATAGCATCTTATCTTCAAAGTTCCAGAATCCAAGTTTCATGCCTACTACTCTTAATAGTTTGAAGTGACAAAGCACCTTACTGCTGAAATCAATTCTATGATCAACAGAGTGTAAGGAATGGAATTTGTCAAAGCCCATAGATCTAATTTGGATATAGTAACATCCAGGTTTAATACTTATCCAACGACATGCTTTTGAAACCAAGTGTTGTGATTTCCTCTTGTTAAATGGAAGTTCTACTGGTCCAGCAACAGCACCATGATAATCATTTGCAATGACATATAAGAGATTTTCACATTGAGCTTCTCTTAAGCACAAGTCGCGCAAGAGATCATGCATCCTAATTGTCTTGATTTTGCCATCATAACTTTGTTTACCATTTAGAACAAGACTTCTATCAACAAGATCTTGCAAGCATTCCGTGGCCACTTCCTCCGGATTCTTATTGTTCACTGCCCCAAAAAATCCCTCTGCTGCCCACAACTTAACTAACTTCTTTACAGGGATTTCATAATCTTCTGGAAAAACTCCAAAATATAAAAAGCAAGCTTTAGACAGATGTGGTAATTGGTTGTAACTCAGAGATAGTACACTTGAACACGCTCCATTAGAATCACTAATTACACTTTCTGCAACATTGTTCCACTTTTCCACCTTCTCCTCTGTCTTGGAGAGAAGACTAGCTACTAAAGTAATAGCTAGAGGTAATCCTTTACATTTCTTAACTATGTTTTTACCTATTTGCTCAAACACGAAAACAAATTCTGTTTTACCAAACACATTGCAGTAGAGATTCCAACTTTCATTGGCATCTAGGAAAGGCATTTTAATGATAGAGTTACCTGAACTACTAGCATATTCAGCCACCTCTCTCAGTCGAGAAGTCAATAGTATACGGCTTCCAGTATTATCATCTAGAAAGCACCTTTGCACACTACCCCAAGCTTTTATTCTCCATATATCATCTATCACTATCAAGTATCTCTGATCCTTCAAGCGTTTACGTAGCGTTTCTGCTAAGTTGTCATTTCTTTGTTCATGGAGTACATTGCCCTGTATAGGGAGTTCATCTCTTGATGCTGCAATAATGCAACCAATAAAGCATTGGAGCATTTGGTCCAGGTCATATTGTTGAGATACAGTAGCCCATGCTCTCTTGTCAAAATAAGAAATAATTGATGGATCTTCATAAAGTTTTTGAGCTAAAGTGGTCTTGCATATTCCTCCCAAGCCAACAATTGATACAACTTGTAGCTGCTTCGCTGATTGTCGAGTGAGCTGATCCATTATCGTCTTGAACTCCTCATCGCATCTAGCCATTCTGTTGTCAAACTTTGAAGCGCTTTTGGAAAATTTACTCACAGTAATATTCTGGCGTTCTGGATCAAGCTGCGATGATGTTGAACCAAGGAGTAGTCCTCTTTGTCGCATCCGACCAAGGAGTGAAACGTCAGTGATCCTTTCACCTTGTGATGGACCATTTGCTAGCTGCTTTTCACTAATTTTAATCAACTTCTTCTTGAGGTAATCAATCTGTTTTACTGCTTCAGTGAAGATTCCACGAAGACTGGGGAGGGAAGCCTTTATACGAGTACGCTTCGTCCAACCCTTTAATTTGCTAGATATATGACACTCAACTCCATCTCTATCCTTTCTTCAATGCTACATCTCTGATAAGGCTGGGGGTACAGGGTGGCACTAGGAGGTAAGGGTTGGAACTGTGATAAGGCCGGGGGTAGCTATAAGGTTGAAACAGGGCATAAGGTTGGAACTATGAAACTTGTGACATGTAGTTGTCACTGTGTGAATGTGATTTCCTTGCTTATGAGCATGTCTTGATGTGTTCTACCCTGGGAATGGTAGGATGCATCCCAAGTTGTGTGTCTATGCTGGTTGTGGTCTCGTCTTTGTTGTGAGGTTGATGATCCTCGTTTTTATTGAGAGTGTGATGGTCTTTGATGTTGACTTCCTTCCTTGGTTTTGAAATGATATATATTGTATTCCGTTTCAAATGGTTTTGTTTATATCTATCTATATTATGCTATTTAACGCGTATTGATGGGTTACCAGCATTATTCGCTGACCGGGTGTTATCCCTTGATTTTACAGGTTTTGAGTAGATGCCGAGTGCGCTAGATATGGACCTTAGATAGTATAGATCCTATGCTAGACGTTTATCCTTTTTGGCCTGTGTGCCTTAGAATTGTTATTGTTATGTTGGATTGTTGTTGACTAGCCTGTGCACCCATGGTTTATGGGTGTGGCATAACATCTCTCCCATTTTAATTAAGTTTCCGCTGTTGTTTATCTTAATGATTAGATGTTTACCTTTGAATTTAAGTTTTAAAAATGTTGAAAAATCGGGGGTGTTACAACCATCACCATCACCGCCGCCACCACCACTGCCGTCGCCGCCACTGCCATTGCCACCACCACCACCATCACATATTTTTATAAGGTTATTTATGTCTTTTAAAACGTATTTCATTTCTATTCCTTAAATCCACCAAACACTGTAATATAATTCCTAAAATTTATTCCTTCTTCGAACCAAACAATAGAATACAATTCCTATTATATTGCTTACCTATTCCATTCCTTATGAAATAGCATTCCTATTACCTCAAAATTCATTTCATGAACCAAACGTGCTGTTAATAATAATAAGGTTAGCAGTAAAAAAAATGAAAAATTGAAAAGAATTATCTTTATAATAAAAAATTTAAAAAATCATGTTAATGCTTTTTAAAATTATTTCCCCTCCTCCAAAATTTATTTTAATAATAATATAATTTCATAAATCATATTACATATCATTTTCCTAAATTAAATGCAATAAAACGAGTCATATATTATTGATACTTTTACATTGATCTTATAATGAAATAAATGTACACTTTTAAATATTATAATTATTTCTATACTTACCTTTAATTTTATTATTTAAATATATAATAAAAAAATTAATCCGTGCATCGCACTGGTAATTTACTTGTTTTTACTAAAACTAATTGATCACGAGGGTGACTGTTAACTTAGTCACCACAAACACAATAGAACGCACACCATGAGATTGGGTGATTTTCTAAGAGATTTTGTTTGGCGGCATTTTAGAGTGTTGAATCTTGTAGCATCTTGCCATTGAAACGTGGCACATACAATTACGCAAATATAAAAAAGATAAAGTTGTGAATTATGTACTAATTATAAGTTTTGGTGTAGTGGTCAATGCTTGATTATGACATTTTGTATAAGAGCAAGTCAAGCGTTCATATTATAGATTGAAAGCATGTTGAGCAGTTGAGGCCGACATCTTGGAGGGTCGGATTCAACATCCTGCCATTGAAACTTGCACTTTTGCTAATAGCTAAGTGTGAGAAATTGCTCTTCGAATGTTATTCCACCGTTACCAAGCAAACAGTGGCGATTCCCAGGCGGTTATTTCGGCAGGATTTTCAAGTATAAATAGCTTGGAGCAGTTATTTTTACTAATCTTTTGATCCCTTAGTTTAATTTCTCTCTATAGGCCAGGTCTTCTTCCAAAGAAACTCTCCCAAACACTTCTACATTGTAATCCATCAACATTATTGAAGATCTAAAGGAATAATTCAACTTATAATTGCTTTTCAATCTTCAATTCCAGATTTGATCTTCCTATTTCCATAATCGAATGAAGCTAATTAAGTGTTCATTTCAATTGCAATTTACTTTCCTTTCTAATGCTTCCATTGATTCTTCATCTTAGCTATTAAATTGTGACAATGTCTAGCTAAGTCGTAAGGAATTAGGATTAGGTTTACTTGTTAGGATGCTAAAATGTTTTTATTACAATTACGAAGTGACTTGATGTATTGACTTGATTCTTGTTGGAAGTGGACTTTGTATAGACTATTGTATGGTGATGGCCACATCACGCAATAGGTCTTGGAGGTGTGTAGTTGTCAAGAGATTGAGACTACACTATATAGCTAGCCTAATCCACTTGCATTTTGCACCTTACACTGGGAAGTAGAGCTCGGAAGAAAATGTCATGTGGACTCTAACTGTTCGAAGAAATGTCTCAAGTAGTAAGATTGCTAAGAGTGTATGATTTTACTACTTGATAGACAAAAGACCACGAGAGTGGCTTGACAATGGAAACATCTTCAAAGAATCATGACCAATGCATTATACGTACCACTCCCTATACATATGGGCATTCTATTGCATCACCCCAAGGAACACCAAGTCTGAGTCCCCTCCATTCATTTACTTGCTTCTTTACATTTACACGTTGCTTTATTTTCACTCATTACTTTAATAGTGCTCTTTGTTTAAGTCTTGAGACCTAGCTTTCTATCGCTTTTATACACTTGTGCTTAGCTGCGCATTGTTCAATTCTCATTCGCCATCCTTCGGGACGGAGCCAGGAATTCCGTTGAGGGGGATGAAGAAGCAGGGACGGATCTAGAAATTTTTTCCAATGAAGGTGAAACGTTAAAATAAAAGAGATAATTTGAAAAAAAAACATCTAAGAAATATAGGTATAAATATTGTTGGATATGAGCAAAAAATAAAACTCATCAAAACTTTATTAAAATATTCATAACAAAATATGAAACATAATTAATTTGATAAAATAATTTGAATAAAAAACACATTATAAATTACACATCTCATTATTAATATTAAAGAATGTTATGTGTGTGTGTGTGTTAAATATTAAAAAAAAAAACTATTAAAAACGTGATTGTGTTGAAGTAAAAAAAAAACTGTGTAAATGTGTTAATCCAAAATTTGAACCCATAACCTTCATTATAACCAAACACATGCTTTGCCAAGTAATCTAACTCACTTCTTGTTAATATTCATCTGTTTTTTATACTAATACTAAAACATAATAATATTAAAACTTGTAATATATATATATATATATATATATATATATATATATATATATATATATATATATATATATATATATATATATATATATATATGATGGGGTGAGGGGGAAGCTGCACCCTGCCCCCTTTGGCTCCGTCCTTGCTATCCTTAGAGAACGACGTCCCCGAGGAAGTTCTATCTTCCTCACATCTTCTTTCCACCCCTACAGGTATACTATGAATATCAATGATGATGGAGAAACGAAATGAATGGTTAAAGATTAAGATTAAAAGCATTTGAGAAAAGGGTCAAATAAGCCCCTAAACATTTCGCAAAAAGTCAATTAGCCCTACAAACTTTTAAAAAGGTCAATTGAACACATGAACACACGATTTTTAGTCAGTTGACCCCATTAGTCGGTAACTTCTCCGGTAAAAGCCGGTAATTGCCTCCATGGCGCGCCACATAAGCGTTGGTGTGGATACTTGGCTGCCACATAAGCATAAATTAAAAAAATTAAATTAAAAAAATAAAATAAAATCACGGTTCAACCTGCGTCTTCTTCATCTGATTTGCGTCTTCTTCACTGCTTCTTCTTGCCTATTTGAAATATTATTTATCTAATTCACTAGCTCTTAAATATGAGGTACACTTTTCAGCCTTATTAATAAATGTATTCATGGCCTGTTACCAATCTGCGAGTATGCTTTTCTTGCCATTATTTGTTCATCCATCCACAGCTTCTACCCTAGTTGTGTAGCTGTGTAGACAGCAGACTATCACCCAAAGAGGAGTGGGTTATGGTATGCTGGGTGATGGTTGATCTGTATACTCATTGTATTTATTTTCTAGGGATGCTGTAATTATGAAATAAAATAGAATTTATCTGAACATAGGTGGGATGGTGGTCTGGAATTTCAGATGATTATGATGACCCATATGGAGTACAAAGATGAAGAAGAAGAAGAAGAAGAAGAAGAAGAAGAAGAAGAAGAAGAAGAAGAGGCAGTGAAGAAGACACAGATCAGAGGAAGAAGACGCAGGTTGAACCGTGATTTTAATTTGTTTTATTTCTTTAATTTAATTTTTTTATTTATGTTTATGTGACAGCCAAGTACTCACTCCAACGCTTATGTGGCACACCATGGAGACAATTATCGACTTTTACCGGAGAAGTTACCGGTTAATGGGGTCAACTGACTAAAAATCGTGTGTTCATGTGTTCAATTGACCTTTTTAAAAGTTCGTGTGGCTAATTGACTTTTTGTGAAATGTTTAGGGACCTATTTGACTATTTTCTCAAAGCATTTACTTTGTTTGGTGATTATAAAACTAGACTAGACAAGACTAGACTTGACCAATAATTATGAATGAAATTAAAGCTAAATCTATATATCTATATCTATATATCTATATATCTATACAAAAACAAAATCCTTCTATTTCATTTTCCCTCCCAAACTTTTGTAGTAAAGCTTATTTGGTAAAATGCACTACTGAAAATTATGGAATTTCCGATCACCTAAAAGTGATCTTAAATCAAGTCGAAAGTCTTGTTCCGCCCATTTTTGGTATCCGGAAAAACCTTTGTTGCTATTTCTGACCACTTTTTACTTTCGAATTGATTTAAGATCACTTTCAGGTGGTCGGAAATTCAATAATTTTCAGCAGTGATGAGAAATAAAAATTAATTAAAATCTATTAATAGGTAATATTGCATAATTGGTAATATTATGTATGGTATTATATTTTATAGTATAATTGATAATATTATTGTTCAAGTATAATAAAAACCCTATGTAATAATGTAATAATAAAATAAAATTACAATAATAATAATAATAATAATAAATAATAATAATAATAATAATAATAATAATAATAATAATAATAATAATAATAATAATAATAATAATAATAATAATCCAAACCAAACTTTATACAAATTAAAATTAAAAATAATAATAATAAGAAAAAGACAAAGGGGAGCCACGGGATCCCCTTTGTAAATGTTGTGGGATCATTTTGATCTCACATAGAAAATGTTTGGAAACGGAAAATAAGAGGAGCAATACTCCTCTTCCAGTTGTTATATTATAGACCGCGGTGCATAATCGATTATGCACCGCGGCCCATATACGGCGCCGTTTCTTTAAGTAAAGAAACGGCCCGCCGTTAGAGTTAACAGAGTCCGTTTGTTTGGTGTATTAAACACCAACTGACACTACAGTATATCCAAACCGACACTGCAGTTATATCAAAATGATACTGTAGTTATAGTGAAATGAAACTGCAGTGTATATAAACTGAAACTGAATAACATTTCACATATTTGAGTGTATATTGTACAATGAAGCTGTAATTATATCAAAATGATCATGTAGTTGTGTTTTAATAAAACTATAGTGTATATAAAATAAAATTAAATAACATTTTCACATATTTGAGTCTATAAATATCGAATGAAACTATAGTTATATCGAAATGAAATTGTAGTTGTGTTCAACTGAAACTGCAGTGTATACAAAATGACACTGAATAACAGAGTTACTTTTTGCAAAAGGGTGCGAAACGGCGGAAATAAACACGGTTAATTTTCATTTAACAAAAAAGACGCGCGGTGCATAATCGATTATGCACTGCGGTGCATAATATAATTTGCCCTCCTCTTCTAAACATAATTGTTTGCCCATCAATGTGGAAACGGAAAATAACTTCCTCCAAAAAAAAGGGGGAAATCATATTCCATAAAATTCTCCTCTCAACCCAAACACTGAATACCCAGAAAATGATTTATGGAATCATTTTTCGATCAAGTTTCCAAACGCACCTTTAGTATAATTGACTAATAATTATTATGATAACTAAGCTAATAACCTATTTATACTTATTATTAACCTATTTACTCATGTAGGCAAGATTGAGATGTGGTTCATGTTGTTCCATTCCTCCATATGTTTGGCTCATATTCCAATTCATATCGTATCCATAAGGAGGAATTTGGAATGGTGGTAAGGATCTTTGAAACTCATACCCATACATATTTGAGCAATTAGCACTTGAGCACATAAAGCAAATAAAAAAAAAAAGAAAAAAAAATGGTCTAGTCTCCTAGAATAGTCATTCACCAATGTTAACTACCACAAAACAATCAAAACCAAGCCATCCCCGGCAATGGCGCCAAATTTGATGATGACGTTTTTCACACATCCATCAAGTATCAAATCACAGTATAGAGTTTAGATATCGTTCCACTGGAGATGGCTCTTGTAATGTTAGGAATTGATGTAAAGTGGAGTTAAGCACAAGCTAAAACTACCCTTTTAGAAGCTAGACCTATCGATAAGGAGATGGTTTGATATGATTAAGCTAATAACAAATAAGACAAGTAAAACAAAGGACCGGGACTTGGTTGATTCAAGCTAAGATGCCAAATATTGTACCCAAGATTAGGGAATTAAACAAGGCATAGGGTAAGTGAGATGCACAAAAGTGTCCAAATACCACTCTCATAGCTATTTGGACTTGCAACCTCACATTAAACTCCACTCTCATGGTAATTCAACCCAAGGATGCCCAAACAAGAACACAAGGCAAAGATTCTCCTTAACACCCGAAATACTCTCGTATTGGGCATTAAGTGTGTGAATGTGTGGCTAGTGTACAAGCTCTACTCTCGTAGCAACAAACACACTCCAAATGAAGCATATAATTGGGATCCAACAATCATACACAAATTTCTCAACAAACCCATTTCACACAACAACCCTAGATCACCCAAATAATCCCCTTTATGCAATACAACTCAAATAGGCATCAATAGCAAGAAATCAAACCAAATCCTAGTCCCAAAGCACTTAGCTACTCATAATATAACAATAGATACACAATATTAAAAGAGAAATTGAAAGCATAGATGAAAAGTAAAGAGAAGAGATGAATAAGAAAACTTCTCTATTGAAGTCTTGAAATCCAAGATTTGCAATGTTCTTGAGCTTGGAAATGGAAGGGAACAACAAATCTAAGCTATTTTAAACTAACCCTAACTAGAGAAATGAAAGGGAAATGAAAGATGTAATGAAAGATATGTTTTGGGGTGGAAAAATCCTCTTAAAAGGGGTCAAAACGCGTTGCAAAAAGTTGTAGAGGGCTGGCCACGGGCGTGGCTTCACCCGTGGCCAGAAATGCAGGGCACACTGCCCAGTGGCCACCGGTGTGGCTGATGCGTAGTATATTTGCAAACAAATAATTCTCGGAGTACGAGTTATCGATCCACAGGGAAGTGGTTGTATCAAGCACTAGTTACTAACTTA